GGGGTACGGATTTATTCTCTGAAGTGCCCAAGGGTAGAAGAAGCACCAATGGGTAGATGGTCTGCAGAGAGAAATCCAAACTTAAAATAAGGAGGAATTTTCTAACCATTAGACCTATTAAGCCAGTGTTGTCCAAACTTGGCCACTTTAAGATGAGTGGACTCCAACTCCCAGAATTCCCCAGCCAGCCAGTTGAAGTCCACTCATCTTAAACTGGCCAAGTTTGGACAACACTGTATTAAGCAGTCGAAAAGCCTGCCTCTTAGAGGTGTAGGTACTGTATCACTGGAAATTTTTGTCTGAGATATCTCAGGATTCCTGCCAAGGGAAGGGGATTGAATTAAAATTTCTGAGTGTTTTTCTTTTTTCTTTCTTTTCTGAGATCTTTTCCAACCATACGATTCTATGAATTTCATAGCAGAAAATACTAAATTGCTTAGAAAAGCCAAATTTTCATTATCACAGAAACAGACACATGATGCATGAGACTGAAGTTTAAAAACTATAATTTGTATTCCTTATACTACTTTTCTGATTATCAGTGCCTTCTTGCATTTTCTCATTTATGTGCTTTGTGAAGAGGAGGAGGAACAACTACTACTACTACTACTGCTATAAAAACAGTAAACTGAGGCCCAGGCTTTGCATCAGGAGTCAATATTGCAGGATACTATAGGCATCATATCATCTACAAGAACCTGAGATGGCACAAACTGATCTCCAAAACTAAACATAAAAGAATGTGCCAAATCCTTTGAAATGGTAAAACTTTATGGGATCTGTGGAAAAACAAAGCCAAACAGCTTTGGAATTTTTAGGAATGTATTATTTGGGGCATCACTTGTGATATTGTACAAACTCATGTGATTATGACTACCACCTGAACTCTCTGCTGTGCATGAGCATGGCAGACTGATGTTTTCAAATACTGTTCAAAATAAGGACCTTTACTTAAAATGCCAATTACGACCACATGAGATTTTATTCTCTAGAGACAGTATAATAAGCCAGAATTAGCTTGAGCTAAGTGAGACTTCTATTTAAATAATTGTGCATAAATGTACAATGCAATCAATACAACATATGTTCTGGAATGCCATTTTCCAAAATGTTTAAAAAAATTAATTTGTACAAAAATAAGCTTGTGTCACAAATACCATGTTCGTATGGTGAGAACGTTCCAGCATCTATGTTAATGTAAGGATCTATTTTGATTGCAGTTACCCGGAGACCACATGATTTCAGGATGGTACCGATGCTGCTTGCAATAATTCCTTTCCCAATACCCGAAATGACACCACCAGTTACCAGGATGTACTTCATGGGAAAATTATGGATGTGCTGTATATCCTGAGCTGGAATCCTAAAAATGAAAAGGTTAGGTACAAATATCTTTATTCACGCTACAAATAATTATCATAGCATATAGTATGTTTTGTAGGACAGTTAAGAATTTAAGAAATTAAATAATACCAAAAATATTTATATATAGCATAACATAGTATAGTTATTTATAGTTGCTATCAAAATAAACTGTAACTGATAAACAACTAAAAAACTAAAGGTTTATCAGTTTAACAAATACTAGCACATTTAAAAAGAAGATGGTAAGGTATACGCCATTCAGGCAAATGTGTTCTTAATTCATGGGACTGACTAAAAAGGATCTTGAAATAGAGATGCAAGAGTTCAG